ATGTGCCTGGCATATCTGTGTGTCTGTCATCTCTGGGTCTGGGGGAGTGTGTGTGTGCTTCCCCAACACATCACAGGCCTCTAACTCAGTCCCAGCATCCTCCCCATGAGACTTTTTTTTTTTTTGAGACAGGGTCTCAGGAAATTGCTGTGGGTTCACTAAGTGGCTGAGGCTTGGCCTCAAACTTAAAATCCTACTGTCTCAGTCTCCCAAATTGCTGGGGATAGAGGCAATGTGCTACCACATCCAGCTGCTGCTGAGACTTCCTGAGGCCACTAGGAGCAATCTTCCTTACCCTGGTAACAACAGCTCCCACCACTCTACCTCCAACCCTGAAACACAGGGCCTCAGGGGCTGAGAGCACAGGCTTTGAAGACGGCACAGTGGCACATGCCTGTCAACTTGGGAGGTGGAGGCAGGAGAATCTCAAGTTCAAAGCCAGCTGCAGCAATTTAGTGAGGCCCTGTTTCAAAATAAAAATATAAAAGAGCCCTTTTTATATTTTTATTTTGAAACAGGGCCTCACTAAATTGCTGCAAAGTGGTAAACCGCCCCTGGGTTCAATCTTTAGCACCAAATATAAATAAACAAACAAATAAATAACCAAACAAACAGCACAGGCCCTGGGTTCGGCCAGATCTAGGTGTCCACACTGGCTCTGCGCTTGCTAGCAGTGACCTTGAAGGAGACACCTTTTTCCCAAGCCGCTTTTTTTCTTTTTTAATATTTTATTTCTTTTAGTTGTAGTTGGACACAATACCTTCATTTTATTTATTTACTTTTATGTGGTGCTGAGGATTGAACCCAGCACCTTGCATATGCTAGGTGAGCGCTCTACTGCTGAGCCACAACCCCAGCACCCCCCACCAAGCCTCTTTTATTAAGTAGACATGATCACATCTCCTGAAAGGAGATCATGGCGGGAGGGGTCTGGCATAGCACACGCAGCTAAGGGTGCCTGTTACCTCTTAAAACACTGGCCAGCGTCAGGCACACAGCCAGGCTCTACTGAACAGCCCTCAAGAACAAAAGCACTGAGCGGCCCTTGCCTTGGCTGCTGGGGACAGAGCTGGTGGAGAGAGGGTGGCCTGGATTAGGAGCAGGGCTAGCGCAGTTTGCATGACAGCCACTGTGAGGAGAGAAAAGTGATGACCTGATTTAGTGCCTTGGGCAGCCAGGAAAGTGAGAAGAGTGCAGGCAAGGAGCTGGGGAGCAGCCCCACCCCTCCCCAGACCAAGTGCTGCCTGGGACCCCCAGCACCAGCCAGGGTGTCCACCCCAGCCCCAGAGCAGTCCCACCAGGCTGTGTCCCAGGGGATGTCCACATTCATTTGCTCTTTTTCTTCTTGTTGTGGTGGTAGTTGTGGTGGTGGTGGTGGTGAGGCTGGAGGTCTCACCCAAGGTCCCTGAGCATGTCTAGTAAGCACCCTGTTGCTGAGCTCCGTCCTTAGCCTTGTTCTCTTTCCTGAACAATCCTGTGAAGGAGTTTCTTAGCATCCTCACTTTGCGGCTTAGAAAACTAAAGCTCTGGTGGTTACATCCCAAGCTCACAGTGCTGACAGGTGGCAGAGAGAATGACCCTGGCATTCCAGTTGCCTGTCAGGCAGTCCTGGATGTGTATATCAGGAGCCCTCTTCCTGGGCACACAGACAGACACTAGCTCACCCTGGTGGATCCCCTCCGCCCATGGGCAGAATTCCCACATGCTGGCTGGAACTCACCACTAGCTCCCACAGCAAGTTCTTCCCAGAGCCAAGCAAGCCCTGCTCCCACTTATTAAAGGTGGCTTTTTGCAGGGTGCAGAGGTGACTCCGGAGGCTGAAATGGGAGGACAGCAAGTTTGAAGCCAGTGTTGGCAATTTAGGGAGGCCCTATCTCAAATTAAAACAATAGTAATAATAATGACGACGATGACGACAGCTCAGTGGTATGGTGCCTGCCCCTGTGTTCAATCACCAAATTTTTTTTTGTTTTCATTTATTTATTTTTTATTAAATTATTTATTTATTCTAGTTTGTTAAATACCATGACAGAATGCAATGCATTTCATATTACACATATAAAGCACAATTTTTCAAGTCACTGATTGTACACAAAGTATTTTCACACTATTCGTGTCTTCATACATGTACTTAGGGTAATGATGGCTAACTCATTCCACTTCTTTCCTACCCCCTTACCCCCTCACCCCCTCCTGCCTTCTCCCTACCCTTTGCCCTATCTAAAGTTCCTCCATTCCTCTCATGCTCCCCACCATCACCATTATGAGTCAGCATCCTCATCTCAAAGAAAACATTTGACCTTTGTTTTTTTGGGGATTGGTTTACTTAGCATTATATTCTCCAACTCCATCCATTTACCTGCAAATGCCATGATTTTATTCTCTTCTAATGCTGAGTAATGTTCCATTGTGTATATATACCAAGGTTTTTCTATCCTTTCATCTACTGAAGGGCATCTAGGTTGGTTCAACAACTTAGCTATTGTGAATTGTGCTGCTTTATTTTTTTTTAAGAGAGAGAGAGAATTTTAATATTTATTTTTTAATTATCGGTGGACACAACATCTTTGTTTGTACATGGTGCTGAGGATCGAACCCAGGCCGCACGCATGCCAGGCGAGCGCGCTACCGCTTGAGCCATATCCCCAGCCCCAATTGTGTTGCTTTAAACATTGATGTGGCTGTGTCCCTGTAACATGCTGTTTTTAAGTCCTCTGAGTATAAGCAGAGGAGAGGGATAGCTGGGTCAAATGGTGGTTCCATTCTCAGTTTTCCAAGGAATCTCCACACTGCTTTCCAGATTGGCTGCACCACTTTGCATTCCCACCAGCAATGTATGTGCGCCCTTTTCCCCACATCCTCAACAACACTTATTGTTATTTGTATTCTTGATAGCTGCCATTCTGACTGGAGTGAGATGAAATCTTAGAGTAGTTCTGATTTGGATTTCTCTAATTGCTAGAGATGTTGAACATTTTTTCATGTTTGTTGATTGATTGTATATCCTCTTCTGAGAAGTGTCTGTTCAGTTCCTTGGCCTTTATTGATTGATTGGGTTATTTTTTTTTTTTTTTGATGTCAAGATCCAAAAAAAATTTTTTTAAAGTGGCTTTTGCCAGGCTTGGTGATGCATGCCTATAATCCCAGCAGCTTGGAGGCTGAGATAGGAGAATCATGAGTTCAAAGCCAGCCTCAGCAAAAGCTAGGCGCTAAACAACTCAGTGAGACCCTGTCTCTAAATTTAAAGAAAAATACAAAATAGGGATGGGGATGTGGCTCAGTGGTCGAGTGCCCCCACCCAAAAAAGAGTGGAAGCTTGAAGTCCAAGAGACTCCAATTCATGCCTCTGTTTTTTTTTTTTTTAATTGATTTGGTTTTTTTTGTTTGTTTGTTTGTTTTTTTAAAGAGAGAGACAGGGAGAGAGAGAGACAGAGAATTTTTTTTTTAATATTTATTTTTTAGTTACCGGCCACATCTTTGTTTGTATGTGGTGCTGAGGATCGAACCTGGGCCGCACGAATGCCAGGCTGCCAGGCGAGCGCGCTACTGCTTGAGCCACATCCCCAGCCCCATGCCTCTGTTGTTAATGAGCCATGTGGCCTGACAACCCTCTCTGAATCTGTCTCCACATCTGCAAAATGAGGGAGGCTGCACCCAGTTTCTTCCAGATCATACACTGTCCCAGATGCTATGAGACCTAGATCATGGCTAGGTCTGCACTGTCATGTGCTACCATGAACCTAGACACTGAAGAGAGGGGAACCTCCCCATATTCCCCCAGATCCCAGCTCTCCCTGAGAAAGCCAGCAGACAGCAGGCCCACATGGGCAAAAGGAATCAGCACAGGTGGCCTGGTCCCTAGAGATTGGGCTTACAAGGAACCCAAAGTGGAAGAGAGCGCCAAAGATCTTCCTTCATCCCCATTTCCATCCCTTCCTACTCCTGGGGAACCCCATGCCTAGACAGGACACTGGATTCTCTGCGTTGGCCTGGGTGGTTTCACAGGTGAGGCCAAGAGTCATTTCTGCTTTTAGGGCCTGTGACTACTAAAGAGAAAGGGGTGTGGCTTCTCTGGCCTCCATGACTCACAGGGGTTGTCCCAGCATGGGGTGGGGACCCTGCAAATCAGACAGGTCCATTTCTGTCCAGACACAGTTGGGGCGGATGGTGGGCGGCTGCCGCCTGTCCTTACATGGGGCTAAAGGGGCCAGCCATTCAGTGACTCATCCACTTACCCAGCCAGCTGAAACCCTGGCCCCACCCTTCCCTTCTCCTGCTACCCACAAAGCCTCCTAACGTAGCACCTGGTCACACTGAGACTAAGCTAGCAAAAGACCTGTCTAAAGGTTGGTGATAACATAGGGCCATATCACCATTTCAGTAACCAATCTGAAACCACCGCCTACCTCTGGGCTCCTGGTGTGTGATTTTATTTACCTGCCCCTTATCATTTAAGTTGCTTGAGTATTTGTTCTTGTAGCCAAAGGGACTCAGCAGCTATGAACAGATATGAGCCTCGTGGCCTCCTAGGGCTGTTATTTTAGCTCAGTCTTCCAGCAACAGTCTCCAGAAATCCCTAGGGGTCCCTGAGAAGCCCAGGGGAAATCAGATGGGAACAGGTGTGGTGACTTTGAGGAGGGTAGGTCTGGTGTAGGGTGTGAACTATGGAGGAGAACATAAAGGGAAAATTGTGGCCCATTTCCAGCTGTCAGGGGGTGAAGGCCAGCAGTGTGCAGAATTGACTCCTCCAGAGCAGTTTTTTTCCGGATTGTGGGAGGAGACTCATTAGTGGATCATGTGATCAACTTTAGTGGCTCACAACCATAATTTAAAAAAATTATATATATATACATATATATATATATATATATATATATATATATGTGTGTGTGTGTGTGTGTGTGTGTGTGTGTGTGTGTGTGTTACCGCTGTTGACCTGTGAGGAGTCCTTGCTTCCCCAGTGTTGAAGAATAACACCAGAGAAGCACGCCGAGGCAAGGTCAGAGTGGAAAATTAGAAGTTTATTAAAGGACAGCAGAAAAGACTTCTCCTGGAGGAAGAAGGGAACCCAAGAGATGGAATCCATTGAAGGGCAAATGTGTTCCCCTTTTTATAGTTTTTGGTGATGGAATGTAGGTGGGAAGGCCCAAGGGTTGGGACACAGGTGGGCCAAAGAAGTAATCTGGGCACTTCCGAGTCAGCATCTTCAAGTTTGCTGTTCATTAACATTTCTTTGGGATGGGCTATCTTCAAATCTGTTGGGGGCTGTTTCCTGGACTTCATTAACATTCCGAGAGTTGCTCAACTTTTTCCAGGAATTCATTCTCAACATGGCCTCCATTTTAGATTTCACTGGATATTAGACCCGATTTACCTAACTACACTGACTACCTAATTTTAAATCTGGCTTCATAGAGCTGGGGGTATAGTCTTCAGTGGTAGATCATGTGCTTGCCATGTGGAAGGCTTTTGGGTTCAATCCCCAGCACCAAAAAGTTTAAAGGAAAAAAAAAAAAAAAAGCCATGCATGGTGGCACATACCTGAATCCCAACAACTTGGGAGGTCAGGCAGGAGGATTGCAAGTTCCAGGCCAGCCTCAGCAATATAGCAAAGCCCTAAGCATCTTAAGCAACTTAGTGAGACCCTGTCTCAGGTAACAGATAAAAAAGGGCTGGGCATGTGGCTCAGAGGAAAAGCTTCCCTAGGTTCAATTCCTGATAACAAAACAAAAAGTAGCATAAAACGCAAACACATAATGTAGGAATGTAGGGCTTTGGAGAGTTTTTGCTTCTGTGTATCTGCATGGGCAGACTCTCAGATAAGTAATGGGTTGAGACATGAAATGCCATTTCTTAGTGTGACTTGTGATTTTAAAACGGAGCTGGCACAGCGGCCCAGGCCTATAATCCTAGCTGCTCAGGGAGCTGAGGCAGGAGGATCGCACGTTTGAGACAGTCTGAGCAATTTAGTAAGACCCTGTCTCAAAAAATGAACAGGGCTGGGGATGTAGCTTGGTGATGGATGGCTCCTGGGTTCCATACCTTGTACCACAAAATACATACATACATAAGTGAAAGTCACTGCTCTGGAAACAGGAGTGGAGACAGAAGTGTGCCCTGTGTGTGTGTGTGTTGGGGAGCGGAGGGACACTGTCTATCTAACTTCTAGGAGTTCCAGCATCCGCGGGTCCGTCCCTTTAGCAGGAAGAGAGACATGGCAGCTTTGACCCAGATCCCTCATCTCCAGAACATCTTCATGCTTCCACAACCTCTCCGTGTAAATCTGTCAAAATCTTTGGATTGAGCTTTCCAGGTCCAGGTGACCAGCATCACCTTGTCCCCATTCCTGGTCCTCTAGAGACCACGCGGAGAGGCAGAGGGCGGGAGCAGGAGTCAGGACAGCCAGTTGGGTTTTCTCCTCCCAGTTTCCACTATTTGGCAGAACCTTGAATGGGGGGGGGGGGACAGAAAAAACTAGAAAGCTCGACTTCTGCCACCAGGGCCGGAAGCCCCGCTGTGGCCCCAGCCCGCGGTTAGCCCCTGTTTGTCATTTTGCAAATCTGTTCAACCCACCTCCGGAGAAAACTCCCAGCCTCACCCCGGGAGGCAATGACTAATTACAAAACACATTTTCTCTCCTTTCCGCGGGGCTCGGTCCCCGCCCACAACGCCCCCGCCTTCCCAGCGCGCCACAGACCGCGGCGCCGAGCCGCGGGACCCGCTGAATGAACTCTTGGCCCGGCCTCCTCCGCAGACCTCGCCCGGGGTGCTTTCCGCCCCGCTCCGCGTTACTTTCGCTTTCTAGTCACTCTCGCTCGCCCTGGAGCTCCTAGCCCCGGTCCTTTCTCAAGGTGGGGGCCACCGCTGAGACCCGGGTGCCCCTAAGTCTAGAGTCAACAGTTGTCAGCAAATATTTACCCGGCACTTTCCGTTCCAGGTTCTAGGTGTGCAATGGGAGCAAGACAGGCGAGGTTCTTGCACGGACAGCACTTCTAGAAGCCTAGGATGCAGGGATTTCAATCCAAAGATTAAAAACAGTGGACAAAGGCCCTGCGGCTTAATTCACAGTGCTAGAGAAGCGCGCATGCGTGCTTGGTGTTAGGGACAGCCTGGACAGCCTTGGGGGAGCCAGGGAGGGTTCCCTGGACGCAGAGAAGTCTGGACAGAGGCCTGTAGGATGACTTGGAGTCCGCTTTTAGCCTGCAAACAAGGGTTCTTACAGGCCAGCGAACAGCCTGCGAGTGGTGCCATTTCAATAAAGCTGGCTGGAGCCGCAGGATCTGGGTAGCATAAGGAGAGGGAGGAGCCCAAGCCAACAGGACCTTGAACACCTCCTAAACCATTTGGACTTTTTCCTGAGGGTAATGGGGCGCCCTTGAAGGATCTCATGTCAGAATGACATATTGCTCAGAATGGAGTTGAAGGGCAAGGGTAGATAAAGGTCAGGAGGCTGTTTGGAAGAGGGTAATGGACCCAGGAGATGTTTAGGACACAGGAAAATGGGATGTGGAGGTTAGGTTAGAACCTACAGGTTCTGCATGAATGGTTCCCTCCTCCTTCCCTGCAGAAGAAAGAGCTGGAAGAAGAAGGTGAAACAACAAGGATCCTCTGGGAGGAGTTGAGTTTCAGGTGCCTGTGAAACACCAGGCCACTGGCTACAGAGGTCTGGGCCAGTGGGGGGTGGGGGCAGAGTTCTGGACTGGTCGCCATCTGCATTTGGAGGTAATTAGAGGCTATGTTTGAGGTGAGGGGATAGGAAAATGAAAGGTCTGGGCCATGAGCCAGACAGGGGGATGGCAGGCACGGATAGAGGGGACACTGGCAAAGGACAGGAGCGGCAGCAGAGGGAGGAGGACAGGAAGGTGTGGGAGACCAGGTTGGTGAGGGCAGGAAAGCTTCCTAGAGATTGAACAGAAGGAAGCCCTCGAAGAGTAGAAGGAGAGCAGCTCCGCTCCATGGTGGTGGTGGTGGTGGTGATGGTAGTGGTGGTGGTGGTGGTGATGGTAGTGGTGGTGGTGGTGGTGGTGGTGGTGATGGTGGTGGTGATGGTGGTGGTGGTGGTAGTGATGATGATGGTGGTGGTGGTGGTGATGGTGGTGATAGTGATGGTAGTGGGGTGGTGATAGTGATGGTGGTGGTGGTGGTGATGATGGTGGTGGTGGTGGTGATGGTGATGATGGTGGTGGTGGAGGTGGTGGTGATGGTGGTGGTGGTGGTGTTGGTGATGGTGGTGGTGGTGGTGGTGTTGCTGATGGTGATGGTGGTGGTGGTGGGGGTGATGGTGGTAGTAGTGTTGGTGGTGGTGATGGTGTTGTTGTTGGTGGTGGTGGTGATGGTGATGGTGGTGGTGGTGATGGTGATGGTGGTGGTGGTGATGGTGGTGGTGGGTAGCAGAGGGAGAGTAACAAAAAGCAGTTTGGTTTTAAGGCTGGGAGGGGCAGGCAAGGAGAGGAACAGCCTAGGCTAGGCCAGCTCACAGGAGCCCAGCCCTAAACTGCCTTCTTTATCTCTTTGCCTTTTGGTAAAGTGCCATCTAAGTGTATTCCAATTTTTCAAGACAGTATGTCTTTTGTGCCCAAACTGCTAACCTATTCATTGTATCCCTGCTCCTCCACTGTCCCTGGGCCACACTGACATGGCCATCCCTTTCCCATGGGAGTCTAGGTCTTGACCAACAGCCCTCCTCTTCCTTCTTCCTCCTTCCTGGGTCCTGTTCTCCTCCAGGCCAGACTCTCCTATTTCTTTCCATTTTTCTTCCTCCATTCTTAGGCACATTTCCGCCTCAGCTGCCCTCTGATGGCTAGTTTATTGACTCTTACAGACGTGTCTGCTTTGAACACTGCCCACCTGGGTTTGTTCTGCCAGCATGCAAGGTAGGATCTTCCCTTCCCTCTTTCTAGAGGCCATTTTCTGCTAAAGTTGCCTCTCCTGACGCTATATCAGCCTCAATCACAGACCAGAAGATAATATTTTTTTTCTTTTTTTTGTACTAGGGATTTAACCCTGTGGCTATATACCTTGCCCTTTTTATTATTTATTTATTTTTAAATTTTTGAGAGACAGGGTCTCTCTGTGTTGTTAGAGCCTCACTAAGTTGCCAAGGCTGGCCTTGAACTTGAGATCCTCCTGTCTCAGCCTCCTGAGCTCCTGGGATTACAGGTGGGCACCACTGCACCCTGAGAATCTGAGACTCTTTAGATATTCAAATGTCCTAATTTTACAAAGAAGCTTCATATAACCAAGACCACAGAACTAGGGAACAGCAGATGAACAATTAGAGCCACAGAACCACCCAACCTGCAGAGGACTCCTTCTCCTGTCCCTTGAATGATGTGGTGTGAGAATGGAAGTCTAGAGCTAGAACTGTGGCAGCCTTTGGGTTCCATGAGGGAAGTGCCTAGAACCAGTAGGAGGTTGGGATCAAATATTAAGTGTAATCCAGAGAGAGAGCCCACATGTGTAAGAATAGAAAAGAAGCCGGATATGGTGGCACACACCTGTAATCCTAGCAACTCAGGAGGCTGAGGCAGGAGAATCGCAAGCCAGCCTCAGAAACTTTGCAAGATCCTGTCTCAAAATAAAAAGGACTAGGCATGTAGTTCAGTGGTAGAAGGACCCTAGGTTCACTCCCCAGTCCCACCAAAAAAAAAGAGAGAGAGAGAGAGAGAGAGAGAGAGAGAGAGAGAGAGAACCAATTCTTGCGGAGACAGGGCAGCAAGGTCAGTATAATCCAAGTCAGCATTATATCTGACTCCTGGGGTCCTTTAGGTTCCATTTTGTTTGTTTAAAGTATTTTTTCATTGCCCGATGCACCCACCCAGGTGCATATACAAGTCAATGAGCTTAGGTGTTCATAAAATGTGGAATTCACACCCAGCTGTTGGAGTAGGAGTGTGCGCTTGCGTGGGGTGGGGTTGGGTTGGGGTGGGAGTGGTCTACCAATTGGACACTCACTCAAGTCCAGCACTGTTGTGAACACTGTAGAAATCAGCTCATTTTGTCCCTACCCTAGGTGCTGGAAGATGGCTGCTATCACCCACTTGCAGTAGCTGGGCAAGGGAGGCTTATGGGGGTCACACATCCTGCTTAGAAATGCGCAGCCAGCAGGGCTGGAGCTGGGATTGGCGCCAAGGCTGTTCAGCTTCAGGTCCTTGCGTCCTGGATTATCCCGCCTGCCTGGCTCCCTGTGTGGGGATGGCCCTGGATAGCCCCTTCATCCCCTTTTGTCACAGGCTCTCCCCACAGCCATCTTGAGGCTCAGCAGCCGCTGCCAGGGTTCCCCTTTTGCCCCACCCCACTCCCCATTTGCACAATGCTGGCCACAAACCATTTCTTGTCTTTCCCTCTTCATCCCACCTGGGAAACAGGAAGTTGAAGGCTTGTGGAGGGCCCCAGAGGATTCCATTTTGTTTAAGTCCCATTTAAGTTTTTTTTTTTTTTGTACTGGGGATTGAACTCAGGGACACTCAACCACCGAGCCACATCCCCAGCCCTATTTTGTATTTTATTTAGAGATAGGGTCTCACTGAGTTGCTTAGGACCTTGCTAAATTTCTAAGGCTGGCTTTGAACCTCCTGATCCTTTTGTCCCAGCCTCCGGAGACACTGGGATCACTGGTGTATGCCATGGCACCTGGCTTGACCCAAGTTTTTTTTTTTTTTTTTTTTTAAATAATAACACATGCAACATATGTGTATAGAAAATGGCTTAAAAGGATACTCACCGAAATGGTGCTCATTTCGTCATCTATAAACTTCAAAATTGACCAAATTTTTTACTATATGACAGATTGGACAGGGGAGAGTGGGAGGAAGGGAGGGGGGGTGGGAATGGGAAAGACAGAATGAATCGGACATCACTTTCCTAGTTCATATGTATGGATACACGACCAGTAAAACTCCACATTATGTACTACAAGAATGGGAAGTTATACTCCATGTATGTATGATCTACCTGTCATGTATGACTAGAAAGAACAAATAAAAAAAATCAGAAAAGAAAAAACACTTTAGGGGCTGGGGGTGTAGTTCAATGGCAGAATACACACATGCTTTGCATGTGTAAGGCCCTGGCTTTGATCCAGAGAGAGAGAGAGAGAGAGAGAGAGAGAGAGAGAGAATACCTTTTAGACATTAGTAATTAATAAATGAGCTTTGCACTCCCCAAGCATCAATCAGCCAACTGTCCCTTGTCCCCCATCTCCTGCTCCCTTCCATTCAGTCTCCTCCTCCTTCCCTTGTTATGTTTGGACCTCAAACTCCAGAGCTGGCTGCAAGACTCCAGAACCCCTCCAAACCGCATGCACTAATCCTCCCTAATCCCACTCCCAGGCAGCTCACGCGGCTGCTGTCTGCTCCCGTGAGGAGCCTTTGGTTTCTGCCCATCATAAAGACAGAAGCAGCTGGGCCCTGCTGAGAACTCCGACACATGGACAGCCCCAGAGAGGCCTGGCCCCGGAGAGCGTTCCTTCTCTTCATCAGCAAGGGCATTCTGAGCAGGGTGGACTCCAAAGCTGGATTTCCTAATACACAGAGTAACAAGTGCTGCTGAGGTCACCAGCGAGGAGGGACACTCAAAAAAGTGAGGTGGGGCGGGGGGAAGGTAGAATGTCATATTTAAACAATGAAAAGGCCATTGTCGGGAAAACCAGAATCTTCATTGGGCTGACTTTTAAATTTGGTTTTTATTGTATTACACATGAAGGAAGGGGCCCCTCGGTCCTTTCCAGCCTGGGCTCCTGAAGGACCCTGCATATCCACACAGAGGGCTGTTTGCCCAGGATCTTGTGGCAAGTTTTCTGGCTGGAGCTTCTGAGGAAGGGGCTCCTCCAGGTGCAATCACCCAGGCAAATGGGTGAAGGTGAGAGGGGCTTAAGAGAGCCACCGTGTTCCCAGGAGCTCCCAGCAACTGTATGTGGCCCCAGGCACTTGGGCCTCTGACTTCAAGATGAGTCTACCTGTGTACAATACGTCCTGAAGGCCTGCATGAATGAGTCAGCCAACTTCAAGGTCATTTTCAATCCAAGTTTGATTCATCAAGCATATAATCCAAAGGAAATACTTGTGGAAGCCTGTGACTAGGTTTTGATCTGGGCCATCAGGGAAGCTCTCTGGAGGAGGTGAAATTTGAATTGTACCTTGAAAGACCAAGAGATGGGGAGGAACAGAGAAAGAAGCCGGAGAGGCCCCATGCCTGTTCTGCTCCACTTTCTCCTTGAATCAGCCTGCAGGAACAGAGGGCTCTGGGTGAGGCCTCAAGAGGAGGCAGAATCTCTGCTTCTTGCTGGTCTCCCTGAGTGAGTGTCAACAGCCACCTCTGGACCCACTGCATTGGCCCTGCCTCCTCTAACCCGGCTCTGAGGTCCCCGGTCTTTCTCAGAAGCCCTTAGGCCCCCTCCTCTGGACATCACAGCTTCAGGGCAGATGTCCTTCGGCCTTTGTCCTTACTCCTTTGGGGCTCTCTATCTGGAAGTGTCGCAGAAAGACCTGGAGAGCCTTAAAACACACAGAGCCCAGGCCCCAGCTGCAGACTCCAGAATCAGCCCGACCTGGGGCTGAGCTGGGTGAAAGCTCTTCCAGGGAATGCAGTGGCCACCAGCATGGGAGACCGATGGCCACTGTCAGGGAGGGGGAAGTGGGGCAAGAAGGGAAGGGGGTGGACAGTGCCCCAGGAAGAGCCCAGGGGCTGGGCAGGTGGAGAAGGCTCTGCAGAGAGCATATGGTCACGGGAACAGCTGAACTTGCCTGTGCCCCCAGACTCCCAGGCAGGGCCCAGGACAACTGCTCACATCATCCAAGGCAGGAAGGCACAAAAGGCCTCCAAAGAGGGCCTTCTGGTGAGTTGGTGCCTCCGTGAGCATAAACACTATTGCGTTTGTTCGCCCTGGTCTCCTCGGCACCTGCTACCTAGTAGTTGCTCAATAAGTACCTGTTGCATGAAAGGACTGAGTGAACTTGCACTGCCTGTCCTTTCTGTCACCCTGTAAGGTTCTCGCAGCGGAGGGTTCCTGTTCAGAGCAGAGGTAAACCAGGGATGCTGAGGGGAACTCTGGGAAGGGGGAAGAAGGATGTTTGGCCTGAGCTCCTCTCTC